AAATGAAATACTCGACACAATCCATGGCTTCTCCTATTTGTCGCCCAAATACTTGTGGTTTCACTTCAAGAATATTCCGCAGATTCTGTGAACAGAACTCCATCTGAATGTAGAGGTGTTTGCCTTCAGGCCATGAGTTGTAATACTGAACACAATATTCTGAACTAAGTTTTCCTAATGTTTTCACTTCATTATAGACTCGTTGTATGTATTCATCAGAAAAGTCTGGAATAAATCATAAAATAGTTTTTAAAATTATTTTCCATTTTATAATACCTTTAATTTGAACTCTTTTGACGGCATATATGTGTCCATCGATTCTGTGCTGTACTCTAAACACAGTCCCAAAACCTCCGGAACCGATGGCCGACAACTCAATGAACAGACTTTTGTAATGATTTTCATTAAAATTATTCTCCAATTTTGTTGAATCTATTTTGTGTCATAAAATATATAAATTATAACAAGCAACATTCTTAAAATAAAATAATAAAAGTACCTTCATTATTATATTGTTTTGGTTTAATATTTAACGTTTCAATAGTTTTCACTATAGATTCAGAGTGATTTGTGACCATGTTTATATTTATGTACATTGTATTATAACTTAGTTGCAATTCAGTTGCATAATAATCTACAAAATTATTAAATTCTGTTTTTTGTACTTTTGTTGGTGATATGAGTTCCCAAATGGTGTCATCATTTTGTATAAGTACTTTACCTCGATTAATAAATGAATGCATTTCATCAATTCGTTGAACGTTAAACTTCAATGAAATTAATCTGGGTATTTTTTCTATATAAATCTGATTCAAACCATCAGTATATGTGCCACAAAAATAAATTGTATTACTATTGGATAGAAAACATGTGAATTTATTATTTGTCTTATTTGTCGTACAAATAGATTGAATATCAGTCAACTCGGGAATCAATTTGGGGGTCAAAATGTCTTCTAATAATTCATGTCCACAATGATTGCAACTATTATTACCCCAACTCAATACCAAACCATTGTTTGTAATGGCAAATGAATTATAGACAAAACAAAATATTTTTTTCACTTTATCATTATTTTCAAATATCAATATCGGTGAACACATTGTATTAATCTTAGGGTACCCACATCCTATTTGTCCAAATTCATTATCGCCCCACCCGTACACCTGTCCACCAGAGGTCAGGGCCAGGGAATGCCAACCACCACAACAAATATATGCGATATTCTTGTCATTCAAATACAGTATTTCTTGTGGTTTTAAATACACACCAATTTGTGTCACACCCCGACCACACTGTCCCCTATGATTGTGTCCCCAACTGAACACATGGTTGTCCTCATTCATAGCCAACACAAAGTCATATCCATTGATAAACCTTTTGATTCTTTTGTCACACAATTCCGGTATAATTACTGGTGTTTTTACATCCATGTAATGACCAAAACCTAGACATCCTCTACCATTAGCACCCAAACCATAGACGGTGTCATCGTTTGTGACAAATAGTATATTATTTCCATTTTTCCAGTCATCGAAAACATGAAATAATTTGATTTTAGGTTTAATATTCGTGTCAATCCTATCATGAATGCGAAACTTATTCAAAACTAAACACATTTTAACAAAAAATAATTAAAACTAATTACAAGAAATAAAAATACAAATTTAATTACAATATTTAATTATAAATAAAATAAATTGAATAAAAACTGAAAATAGGATTGTGTTATCAAATGTGTTGTCATCGAAAATATAAGATAAAAATAATTATGAATTCACATAAATATATCATATATATTATTATTATTATAAATTATAGATTATAGATTATATAAACTAATTAAATTTTACTACTTTAAAAATAGATTGTCAAATTTATAATCTAAATTTTAATTTTATTATGCTGTAATTTAATTTAATAATATTAAAACATATAATGAAATTTTTAATTTAATAAAAAGATATGTTTTATCTAGAGTATAAAATCATTTATATAACACCACTTGTGAATGTTTTTATGAATTATAGTGTGTATCAAAATGTTTTACTGTAAAGATTATCGCAATGGGAAACCATTGGTTACAAATGCATGTCTTATATAATATATTACTTTTGTATTAACCTTTAATTTATTGATTAAAATGTATTTCCGATGCAAACTTTATTTAATTGTTATCATATGATAAATGTACTTCATTTACAGAGATTATTAAACTTAATATGTGCCATGATTAAAATTAGTAAAAAAGTTAAATATAAAATATTCTGAATCTTATTGAAAAGGACTTCTTATCAAAATGATCAAGTACATTTAAGATGATTTTTATACTAATTTAGAATTATTTTGCGAGTCTACTAAACAGAAGCTGTTTTAAGTTAAAAAGTTTGCTTTTTAAATCTGGATGCTTTTATAACTAAATTTTAAAACATTTTTTGAACTAATTTCTAATGAAATTAAATAATAAGTTAGTTTACATTGTTTATAAAGTATACAAATATTTAAGCTAGAACATGATTAATTCAATGTTATATAATTATATTATGCTCTATTAAAATAAGCTATTGACTCAACATTTAAGATAAGACTACCATAATTATATAAAATACTTACTGTGTGTATGAATGTATAAAATTGTTATTTTAACTGAAATTTATTTGTATTTATTTAATATTTATGTCAAATAATTAAAGCGAAAAACACTTACAGAGAGAATGACTATAAAAAATTTTTGATAATTATTGGATAAATCTCTGCGTTTTAATACTAATTCACTGCAATTAATGTGTAAAAGCTTTAAAAAGTTTATATAAACTGTTTGAATATTATATAAATGTCAATTATAACTCTATGAGTTTTTTAGTCCAGGGTGAAAAATAAAAATGAAACAAACGCTATGACATGGGTCTAGGTAAAATGAGAGGTCCGAGGTGAATATTTAAGCCATAATTGATAAAAATCGATGATAAAACCAGGTTGTACAAAATGTAAGGTTATTAAGTTTTAGATAGGGTGGAGTTTTTTTAATAATAAAATCATAATATAATTTTTAAATTATGCAAAAAATCTAAAATAATTAAAATATCAAATCCTAGTAATCAAATGTTACTAACATATCAAATAATTATTTATAGTTAAAATAAGTCTACTAAACTGACTTATATTATAGAGTAATATTCTTATGTATATTTAATGTCATGAAGTTTACCGATATCGCAATAGTTAAATAACTGGAATTGTATGGTTTTATTATTATGAATTATTACATTAATAATATCTTAAATAACATTAAATATTCAAAATTTAAAATAATTAGAAAATTGAATATTTTGATGTTTTATTTCCCAGTTTTGCTATTTTGGGACAATTTTTCAAATTTTTCGCGAATACTACGTATACTTCCGGTCGAGACATTAGACTCAGTATTACGTGATATACTAC